CAGCCCCTGTGCTGCTGAAGGCTCCGTGGCAGGAGCAGCCCCTGCTCCCAGGGGGCTGCAGTGGGGCAAACAGCACCACATGCAAGAAGGGCTGCTGAGGTGATGCCAAATATATGGGGGATGCAGAGCTGGAAAAGTGATTGGCTGCCAGTACAGGGTTTCCCGCATCTCCTGTACATTCGGGAAGGGGCCAGGTCCCTGCCAGACCTGGGACACCCCGGCACCCTGGCTATCGAAACCCGGCGACAGGAGAGGGCTGGGCTGTGGCACAGGAATCACAGCTAAGGGCTCAGACCTGGGAACCCCGCCTTTGCTGAGAGGTCCTGGAGAGGGAGGGGATGTGGGTGACAGGGTGCTCAGGGGCGAGGCAGGTCAGTGGGGCAGTGGGGGGCAGCGTGGGTAGTGCAGGGAGCTCGTGGCCCTTCAGCCTCAGCATCACCAGTGTCCCAGCAGTGCTGGCTTCTCCCACACGATGGAGCAAAGCACCCGGGCATCTCCCGTGGCCATGGCCCCGCCGAGGCCTTCTGCACCCCTTCGCTGCTTACCCCCAAAACCAGAGCAAAGGCACCGGCTCGGTGCTACCCCGAGGGTCCAGGCTGCGAGTGAGGGAGGACCAACATGGGCAGGGGTCTCCAGGCTGCTTTATTGGGGGGCTTGGAGCTCGAGGCCGGAAGGGCTGCCATGGAGCGGGGCACGCTCAGGGCTCTCCACTTCTCCAGCTGCTCACCAGGAGGGGAACGTCTTGGTGTTCACTTACACCAGCTTCTGTCTTCATACAGTCGGGGGCACCGGGGAAAGCCCCACCCCAACCCCGCAGAGCAGGGACCACGCCAGCCAGCCCCGCTCCCTCCACGCACCCCCAAACCATCCCTATTTCAGGCAATAGGGAACTGAGCTGCCCTTATTCCCGAGGTGGGAAGCAGCCGGACAACACGGGCACTGCCGGAGGATGTGTGTTACAAAAGCGGTTTCCTATGTGGCTCTAGGGATGAAGCAGGTCGGACAGCGGGGCTGCCGAGAG